ATATGTTCGCCACTGGCAACCGAAACCTTCAAGGTTTAGTGACATTTTCCAAGGCCTGTCCAGTTCTAATTACTCGCTGACAGCGCTCAGCCTTTCGTATCACAACTACAGTCACAACTAACTCGCGATGTCCAAGATGACCTACGCCCCTTGGCGAGTATTCATCTCCCGTATAATTCTATCTCTTGGAAGTCAAACTAACTCCTATGCAAATTTCACTGATACCAGTCGTAAATCTTGCAGTGCCTGCAGCCGTGCTACTATTGTTTTCCTTTATAAAAAGTTTGTCAAAAATGCATTTGAGGAATCCCCAACGAATTATCTATTTTGATCATTCTTTTATTCAACTTTGCTCTTCAGAAAAAGCAACAGCTCTAAAGTTAGATAATATCAACACAGAGGTACAGATAAGCTGCGTATCTCGAAAATTACGCAAATTTGTATGTGAAAATTCAATTCCTATTAAGTCTGTTGCATACAAGTATGCTTGAATTATTGTAGATACTCAATGCATGTGATCTTACTTTGTGTACACACACAAAAATGTCAAATCGTAGCTTGCGTACCGGTGGATAGATAAAATAACTGAAGTATATTGAGAGGTTCTATTTCAGGACATGAACTTGACAACTTGCAGTCTTTCTTATCGTTTCTCATATTACAGATCAAATGTAAATCACAAACACTAACATTTAATTAAACTTTATTATATGTTTACAATTAATGGAAAGGGCAAATACTCAATTGAGTTTGAGTGAGATGAGTACAATTTATTTGTTTGCTCAAAGGAAAATTAGGATACCCAACTGAGATGTACAAGCGAGTACATAATTCAATGACCCAAAAGGTTATCTGTAGCTCTGATCAACAGTAAGTAAACTGTAGGATGATATATTTACGACGGTAAGTGAACTTTAAAGTAAGTTGCTTCCGACTGTAAGTTAACTATAAAATATTATGTATCCGTCAGAACGTAAACTGAGATATTATCGACAGTAAGTAAAATTTAGAATGAGTGAGTGAGTATAGTTTTACGCCGCTTTTAGCAATATTCCAGCAATATCACGGCGGCGGACACCAGAAAAGGGCTTCACACATTGTACCAATATGGGGAATCGAACCCGGTTCTTCGATGTAACGAGCGAATGCTTTATCTGCAGGGCTACCCCACCGCCCCTAAAATTTGAAATGAAATATTTGCGACTGTAAGTAAAACTGTAAAGTAAAATGTTTACGACGTTAATCAAATATATTCTGTAAAGTAAGTTATTTCCGACAGTAAGGATTCTGTCAAGTATGACATATCCTACGTTAATTATTAGTAAAGTGTAAGGTGAGATATTTCCCACAGTAAGTAACTATAAAGTCTGTTAATATCATGATTAGGTTCGCAAAAGTGTTGAAGACAACTGACAAAATGTTATTTATGCGGAGAGATTCGTTACCGTAAACAAACGTGCTATGTATGAGAGACCTTTACTGCGAGCAACTAAGACCTACCGTGATCATTATCATCATCATATATTTGTTTGTTGTTAAAGCCGCACTCACCAGCGTCGTATATTTGTACAGTCCTCACCGACCTCTATGTCGCCTACTTAGGCCACGACTGCCCATGTTAGCATATCTATCTATCTATCTATCTATCTATCTATCTATCTATCTATCTATCTATCTATCTATCTATCTATCTATCTATCTATCTATCTATCTATCTATCTATCTATCTATCTATCTATCTATCCATCTATCTATCTATCCATACATCCATACATCCATACATCCATCCATCCGACAATGAAAAACTATTATTTGTTCTGTCAAATCAGACTATGCCCGTGAAGATACGGGTTAGAATTGGTCCTCAGCAGCCCATGCTTGTTGGGGCGACGACTTATGGGATCGGGTGATGATCGCATCCCAGTTGCGCAGACCGATGCTCTGGATGTCAATCAGTAGGCTGTTAGGTTCAGGCTCGATTGTTTACAGACCGCCGTCATACAGCTGGAAAACTGCTGAGTGCTACCTAAAACCATAAACAAACAAACAAACAAATAAACAGACTCACACAAGCTATCAGCCAACTATCTCATGATATGACCTTGATCTTGGATATACCTGGTGAGTAACAATGCATGGACACCATATTTAATAGTAACATAGATGTAGTTGTACATTGAATCATGGCATTTCTTCATTGCACACAGTATACTGTTTCAGGATTTGCTCAAGACGACAGAGTCATCGACGAAACACCAATAACTGTAAAGGTCATTTCCGGGTCAACCGCCATTTTGCCTTGCACCGTTGACCCCAAATATACAGAAGGCTATGGCGACCAGTACAGCGTAAGTACATATACTAGAAATAGTATTTATGTGTTGACAGTAAGTAATTAGTTTTTCAAGTAACAATATCAGTGTATTTTACCCCAGACAAGGCTCTTAAACATGTTTATTTTACATTTTATTGCCTGTCATTGGAAATCTGCTTTATCGCTCTTTGTAAGTTATGAAGCCAGTGATCAGTGATCTTCTAGCTGACGAAGGAAAAGCTTAAAGATTGTTTAGTGCAAAAACATTTACCTAGATATTTGGATGCCATTGCTTTGTAATTAAAAGAGACAGAAGTCCAACTCATCAAGATCTACGAATTACGTTTATCAATTATATAATTCATCAGCTACCCTAGATGCCCCGGGGTGCTCAGTGTTTGTCATCGCCCAAATGTATTTGCAAACCAAGTGGTGTTAGAGTACAAAATAAATATTAAATAACACCAGATTGCTGGGATAAGAACTTCAGCAATAAACCATACCACTACACAGACAGAAGCGTGGCCTGACACGATGCGAGGAGGCAGGATGACAGAGATATGAGGCACTGTGAATCGAGTGATGAAATAAACACGAAGCATTGCTAATACATGATAATAATGAGACTCCCAAAGGCAATAACTGACAAAATATAATTCTAACAAAATCCAGTTTGGGAGACGGAGGGCTTACGAAACGTATACTTTGGGGATGCTGTAATTTGTCGTGGTATCAGAAACGTTTTGGGGAGAATCAAGTAACGCCTGAAAGCATTGAATGTTTCTTTACTAACAGCTTAGGAAATCAATTGACTAGTGACAGTGACGTCATGGTCTCGCAGGAATTCCAATGGACATATACCTTCATGTGCATGCTTACCGGGTGAACGGTTTCGCTTTTTTCTGAGAAGGTCCACCTGCACCTTCTTGATATACGATATTTTACTCATAATTATATTTACGTGGATATTTCGCTTTAAGCGATTGCTAAGTAGCGACACTCATTGCTATATAAACAGGTTATACCCGATAAGCAATCAATGCTGTATGTCAACTGTGTGTAAAGGCTATATTTTTCTCATTTTGTCACTGATCCAAGTTGACCTGCGAGAAAACGAAACGTGAAAGAATGTTGATGACAAGACTGACAGTCAGGGATATCAATATGTTGGTTACAAATATGTAAGTACCCTTTCCCAGCGGCAGCTTTCCTATCATTCACAATACCTTCCGTATTCCTGACCAGGTCATCACACGCCAACGTAAGATGTGGCTTCTAGTTCCTTGACATATAAATTAATTTTGTGAACATCTAAAATACATGAAAAGTCAATAGGTTTCCCGTAACAAATGTGCTGGTATTTACACAATCCATCACTTGGTATCCAAATAAATCTTGACATTATTGTGCAGGTTCTATTTATATAACATAAAAGAACTAAGCGGTTGTTACATGTTTGATATCTTTAGTTTTGTGTATCGATTATGAACGCTGAAATTTGATAGGTTTGATACTTCCTCTCCATTGTAAACCGAAATGACCCCCGCCGGTACGACATATTGTGCACGACATTCTCCCTATGCCAATATTTTGATTCAACGTTATTCAAACACATTAGTAAGATTAATTGCTTGTTTGCTGAGCTTTAAAATTGTGTCTTTAGCCGAGAACAAAATTGGCTCAAACTGTCAATAATATCGTTTTCTTTTCAGGGTAACCTATTTTTGTTGCTGCTTTTATAATTGAATCCAACAGAGTAATTTTCTTACTCATTTTTATGTCCAACAATTGGAACACATTTGACAAACTAAAATTTTGACAAGCACGAACTTTCGATGCACGTATATCACTATGTCCGCAACAGTAAATAGTCCCCAATACTTGTAGCATTCGGTCTGTGTGAAGCTCAAGGGCATGTGTTTGGCAGTTGAAGATTTCTTTACGATTGTCAGATGCCAGTAAATAGTTATTGTAGTATTAACTATGTTTATTATTGTGAAAAATCTATAGCTTCGTCTTGTCATAAACCACAAGGCTCAGGTAGGTAACCTCAGGGTCCAGCATGAGTAGAGAACGTAGATAGAGAATGATGGATTCGTTAAATGGCTGGTATTAATATCTCAATGAGTAAAGCTGAACTACGAATTTACCGAAACCTGCAAAGAAGAAGCAGTTCAACAGATACTGATAAGTGGATGCATGGATATGGTGCAGATACTACCAATCCTATCCTAAAACAGTGTGGTTTCCTTACTTTGTCAACGTGGTTTCTATCTGCAGGTATTATGGCAGAACTCCATACAGACAGTGATCAGTGTCCGAGACAGGCGGGCCTTTAATAACGTGGTTTCTATCTGCAGGTGTTATGGCAGAACCCCATACAGACAGTGATCAGTGTCCGAGACAGGCGGGTCTTCTGCAAATAACGTGGTTTCTATCTGCAGGTGTTATGGCAGAACCCCATACAGACAGTGATCAGTGTCCGAGACAGGCGGGTCTTTAATAACGTGGTTTCTATCTGCAGGTGTTATGGCAGAACCCCATACAGACAGTGATCAGTGTCCGAAACAGGCGGGTCTTTAATAACGTGGTTTCTATCTGCAGGTGTTATGGCAGAACCCCATACAGACAGTGATCAGTGTCCGAGACAAGCGGGTCTTTAATAACGTGGTTTCCATCTGCAGGTGTTATGGCAGAACCCCATACAGACAGTGATCAGTGTCCGAGACAGGCGGGTCTTTAATAACGTGGTTTCTATCTGCAGGTGTTATGGCAGAACCCCATACAGACAGTGATCAGTGTCCGAAACAGGCGGGTCTTTAATAACGTGGTTTCTATCTGCAGGTGTTATGGCAGAACCCCATACAGACAGTGATCAGTGTCCGAGACAGGCGGGTCTTAACTGATATGAGGATCAGTGTTGAGAGACCCTTTCTCAGTGACTGGAACCTTCACATACGTAATGTCTCGGTAACAGACAGAGGGGAATACAAGTGTCAAATAAACACAGATCCTGTGAGATCAAAAAGGGTGAAGCTAGTTGTCCAGGGTAAGTTGAGATCAGAGAGTGAGTGGTGGGGGTTTGTAACACTTCGTCAGACATATGACATGTTGTCTTAATTCCATCCAGTTAAAGACGCTGCATCGTATATCCATCTGTTCATCCGTCCGTCCGTCCGTCCATCCCCAAGTAAACACAGTTGGGTTTTTTGCGTCTACCGTCATACGAACCATGATGACTTTAGCTTGGTTCATAGGGGCGCCATTTTGAAACAGGTTTGTAATTCATAATTGTGAGATGTGGCATGAAAGAAAATGTAGCCAAGGACATAATTATTTGGACCAGCAATTGTGTTTTATGTTTAACTTTGACATTTGTCTCCATGTTGTTACTATGGCAATCTTGTTCGACTGCCAAATACCAATATATGAATGTGAATTAGGGTGAGCCCAATGGCACTGTAGGAACAACCTATAGAACCGCAGCCCCAAAACACCCGAAGTCATCTGAACCCGCGCAAGTATGGTACTTCCAGGTTATAATATTCATGCTTTCAATGTTACCACTTCCCCAGTGCATAATATGCAAACCTTTGTGATTCCGCCCTAATGTATTCATAAAAATGTAGGGTTGTTTTCTTAATCAATCTAAAAAATTACACGAAACAGTATATACGTTTTGAAAGCGCCAGATCCCCAGCACCAACCGTTTCTGTTACAGAGCTCTCCCTGATGTAATTATGTAGATGCAGCCAACACTATTTAACTTCCTTTTTCAACACACATTTGCTGTTGACTTTTTTTTCTTTTCAAGTCGATATGAAAATGGATTTTAGATTTTTTCTGAAGTTTTATTCTTTACCCATTCAAGCAAATTACAGCAGGACGCCACCTGGGGCACATATGTATTCCCTCGCGATAAGCAAGAAAGCAGTTGAAAGTGTTAATGTCTAAGACAATATAAATTGTTCATTGCTGTGCCCGAGCATTGTCGTGACACTCGACAAAAGACCCGGGAAACATTAATTGTTGCGTTAACATCCACGTTACAGAAAGGCATGTACTCTTAAACACCCTACTCTTATTACTACCCTAAAAACACTGTGTTTTCCATACAATTTACTATCGATCTGAATCGTTCACATTTCACAATAAAACTGTTCAGTTGTCTTATTTCAATGCAATAATAATTCTAGAAGCAAGGTTTTTAGTGGCGTGTAGTTTAATGCCTATTTGATAACCGACAATGTTTCAAAGCTGTGATGTTCGAAACCTGCACTTTGTCAGTGATGTGTTTCACTGCTGGGCCGACAGTATATCCCAGCATCTCCATTACAAGCTGTCTTCAGCACCAGTAAAATGTACGTGCCTGACAGCGTCTGTATCTGCAGACATTTCGTAGACAGCATGGCTGAAGGAGGTGTGTGTGTCGGGTGGGTTGGATGGGCGGGTATTAGAACTGTGATATTCAGATGCACATATACAGTTTGTGATAGTTTAAGTATGTTTCTTTTCATCTCAGCTTATTGATTATTTGTTTTAAATGAAACTCTTTGAGTATAGTCACATGTTCTTATGTGGTACCTGCAATTTATCCCGATAATCTCCAGGGTATACTAGTGGAAATATATCGGAACGGTTATCGAGGATGACATGTTGGTAGATTTCTCCAAATTACGGTAGAATCTCATTTTTCAGTCTGGTGTTAGACTTGGGGTAGAGGCCGATCTCATGCATTGCATTAGGGCGCTGGATGAGCCATGGGTAAATAATGAACATGGAATGATTGGTGTGTGTGTGTGTGTGTGTGTGTGTGTGTGTGTGTGTGTGTGTGTGTGTGTGTGTGTGTGTGTGTGTGTGTGTGTGTGTGTGTGTGTGTGTGTGTGTGTGTGTGTGTGTGTGTGTGTGTGTGTGTGTGTGTGTGTGAAAGAATAAATATGATTCAGTCTTAATAGCTTCCAAGAAGCCCCCAGAATTACCAGCCCCTAATCTGGTGATGAATCTTCGTCATGGAATACATTCTCACTCCCGCTGCCACTGGTAGTGTTAGGTTTGACTTGTACAATTATCACTTCAGGTGAACAATTAACAAGACTTTGCGTAATGTTTAATGCCGGATGCCGCCGGTGGGGCTGGATACGCTCACCTTTTCGCGAACACCTGGTATCATCACTATTTCATAGTGATTCCCAATACATGCTATGTCATCGTATCGGGTGGTGGCAATCACTGGATTGTCTGGCCCAGACTCGATTTGTTTACAAATAACGTCGTATTGTAAAGTGGAAATACATATACATATTCTTTTTGTTACAGTTCCGCCAACCATTATAGACTACACAGAATCCAATGACGTGAAGGCACGCGTGGGTGACCATGTAGAACTCATGTGTAATGCAACAGGGATACCACCCCCTGTTATCACCTGGTACAGGCTAAACGTGTGGACATCGAAAATTAGAGAAAGTAAGAAAAACTGCAAATTGCGTAATTTTCAGTCGGATAGATATGTGTTTAAATGAACCTGAAACCCAAAATACGAGAGGACGGCCAACTTAAGTGCAGCACTGGAAGGGATTTTTGCATTTCAATTACATGTACTTCATATTTTTCATTTCAACTATTTGTGTAATTATTAAAGATGGTATTTCTTTTTCCAGAGGTTGGAAAAGAAGGGAACGTGTTACGTATACACAACATCACGCAGTCGTGTGCCGACACCTACGAGTGCTTGGCCAATAACAGTGTTCCACCCGTCATGAATAGACAGATTCAGGTCACCGTCGAGTGTGAGTAACCTGCATAGCAGGCCACAGAATTCGTCTTACATCTCACTTCTTTACGTATGTCTGCCCAACAACTGCGCTGTTGTTTTATGTGCATACGGCGGTGGGGTAGCCTAGTGGTTAAAGCGTTGGCTCGTCACGCCGAAGACCCGGGTTCGAATCCCCACATGGGTACAATGTGTGAAGCCCATTTCTGGTGTCCCCCGCCGTGATGTTGCTGGAATATTGCTAAAAGCGCGTAAAACCCAGTCAGTCAGTCAGTTATGTGCATACATACATACATACATACATACATACATACATACATACATACATACATACATACATACATACATACATACATACATACATACATACATACATACATACATACATACATACATACATACATACATACATACATACATACATACACACATACACACATACATACATACATACATACATACATACATACATACATACATACATACATACATACATACATACATACATACATACATACATACATACATACATACATACATACATACATACATACATACACACACACATACATACATACATACATACATACGTACGTATGTACGTAATCGGGGACTTTAGGGGAATGAACCTCCACACTGTGTGGGCCAAACTAACGCCTGAGCTTGTGGTCATTATAATGTCGATATGCCAAATGTCATATATGTATCTAGAAGCATGTATATATCATAGACATGAATCTGTCATTTGGTCATGTTTTACCTTGAAGATGTATAGATACAAACACACCCTTACAGTTATCACATCACAAGTTATTTCACATGTCACACTCAACAAGATGTACAGTCAATCTTGCAATGTCATTTGCTGCATGATCATGATTCGGGTTTTGAAATAACCGATCCCTCACACATCTCCGAAGAAGGAGAGTACCAGACAGTTACTGCATGTGTGAATACTTGCTGACCGAGAAGGTACGTCGCTTTCTCGACTTCAGTTACGGCCGCGAGAAAGCGATGACACGAGACGAGAAAGCGATAACACGAGACGAGAAAGCGATAACACGAGACGAGCGATATTTGTATATCGGTTTCTTGCGGTGAGGCCTTACTCCCTCTCATCCACTATGGGGTGGCTAGTGACACGTGTTTTTTGTATATTCGTGAAGCAACAGTACTGAATTGTTACACCATACCTTATTGCAGGTGGTATGGGGGTGGGAAACGGCGGTCATGTTGGGGTGGCCTTTTCACATAAAACATAGTTGAGGTTGTTTCCATTCCAAATTGTAATCGTGGAGGGAATGTTGAAATCTTGTCACTATTCAAAAAAAGCAAAGTACTGTTTAGATGCGGGGGATTTGTTTCAAAACGATTTTAGCGAAAACTATTGTTTTGTGGCACTTATGCGGTGTTCAACCATCAGTGAGTGGCGGGTCACTTTCTGCTCTCTCGCTCTCATAATAGAATAATTTGATTGTTCGTTGAATCATAAAATGGAAACTTTCCAAGACGGATTGACCAAGAACACATACCTAATTATATATTGAGTATACATTTGCTGTCAGCATTTTTATATCGGTATTGCACAGTTTCACCTGACGTCGAATAACAATTATAATGATTATGAAGAATACATATACTGCAGACATATGTTACACATGTACAGTGTTATGTTTCCCTGAACACTACAAGCAGATTAGATAATTGTCTTCATCTCAGACTTCTGAGAGATTCCTATCTCCTTGGACATTTAGAATTGAATGCTTTATAAATTATCATTAAATGCTAATTTCTTTTAACTCCTTCCGATCGAACTGTCTTTTGAAAATATATTCAATGCCAGTATGCTTGTAAAACAGATGTCTGTCTAATGTCGGCTCTTCTGTCAGGTGGGAGTAGCTATGAGTTAGCCAGGTTGTATTATCGGCTCTGTGGTGGAGAAGGAATGTACCGCTGTGCGGTAGTTCTATATTTCTGTATTAGGACGTTAGTATGTAAATAGCTACCACATATATGGGCAGCCAGTGAGTCAGGCAGACACACGTACACCAAACACACATACACACAAAGACGCAGACGCACGCATGCACTCACACACATGTATACACCTGGGTTATACTCATATCAACTTAATACCACCATTGTTAGAGGGATGTTTACCAAGCTACATGTACTGCATGCACGTATATATACATGTAGATTTGTACTCAAGAGACATCATGTAAATTGATCATATGACAAGACGAATATTTGCTGACATCATTGTGGCCATGTAACACAGTACACCCGCAATTGGTGGAGGGCGGGTTGCAATACCCGACGGTCATGACACCTTCTACTATCCTCGTAAAAATGAAAGGGGTGTTCATAAATGTTTTTGAGTAATATATGTTTAGATTTTTTATCCCTTTATTTAATTTTTTTCTTGGGTATATACAGGGCATGTTATTGAAGTCATATAGTACATTTTGCAAGGCTGTATGAATATTTGAATTTATACTATTTGATACATAATAAATGCAAGTAGAATAGTCATAACATACAACACAGTATAATTGCGGTTAAAGGCTGTTGCATGATGACCAGGTGATACATTTGTCGTCTTCACATATTCAAAACGTCGTTTTCTTTGAATCCAGCTGCAGAAATAATGGGCTTGTTATGTACATTCTGTTTAGTACCAGATGCATTCTCTATCTCCTTCATCTGGTTGTGCCACAACACTGTCACATGTGTACATTCAAACAACAATGTCTCAGTTTCAACATTGCAGAAAGAGTCAGCGTACTGTGAGTAATACGGTATTGGAACCGTCTTAGGTTTGTGGTACTTGTTGTTCGAAATTGTATATAGTTGTAAGTCCTCCAAACATCTTCCGAAAGTTCTTTAATGGGATTTCCCTATTTTAATTGACTGTATATTCGTTTAATAAAGTGGCATATATTAGTCTGCATCCTCCCCCTCTCCACCTTTACAAAAATATATGGAATAAATAATATAGATTTACGTTTCATATATCATATATTTTTATGTATTTGATAACGTCTTAAGATTTTAACTTGATATATTTAGATAATATGACCATGACCCACTGACGTGGTGATATATTAAACACCTGACTGGGGATAAAACAATCACTTGTTTTCCTTGAATTCCAGGGACTTTTAAAAATAAAACACCTGCATCCAAACAGTACTTTGCTTCAATGAATAGTGACAAGATTTTAACGTTCCTTTCACAGGTAAATTTGAAATGGATAAAATCTCGGGTATCTTTTATGGAATAAAAAGAAAGCCCACTTTGTCAACATATCACCTACGAATGGTCCGCCCCTAGTTTCACATTTCATTACTGTTGCTTTACTTTTGAATGTACTTTTTATCGAGTAGAAACACGTCACGTGACTTCACATCGTGGACGATAGGGGGTAATGCCCTACTTCGAGAATGCGAGAAAGGGATATCTGCATATAGCTTTCTCGTCTCATGTTATCGTTTTCTCGTTTCATGTTATCGCTTACTAGCGACCGTAACAGAAGGCGAGAAAGCGATGTCCCCTCTACAAATCCTCACTATAGCTTGTTCTGTATTGACACAATGTGTTTTCGTGAACACATTGTTGGATTTGAACCCAGTTAATGCTTTTTGCTATGTCTATTTGTCCGTATATATGAATGGGCGCGCGCGTGCGTGCGTGCGTGCGTGCGTGCGTGTGTCGGATATAAATAGAGGGAAATCCCAACACTGATATATCCGAGAACGTCTTGATGTTACACTGCTGAACTTAACCATGTGTATTTCTTGCTGCAGATCCTCCTCAAATTCGCCTGCTCAATTCCCGGATAAGTCAGATGGTTGACAAGGAGACAATTTTGGAATGTAAAATCAGTGCCTCACCTCTCGGTGTTACATCATGGACTAGGAATAACAAACGTCTCACTAACAGTATTAAATATGAGCTTGATATTTACAACGACGGCCAAGCCAATGTCACACTCAGTCTGCGGATAGCTCACATAGATCGTTCTGATTTCGGAGACTACGTCTGTGAGGCCTCAAACAGTTTAGGAAAAACAAAAGCGATTATGAAGCTTGTAGGTAAGCTGTGGAGTATGTCGGTGTTATTGGTTTGTGTAATAATGTTTTGATCAGCTCACACAAACGGCCTAAAGGTAAAATGATTGAACATATGACTACTTCAACTTGTGACCCCACAAGTACAATAATATTGCCAACACCACGATTACATCTATACCTTTCACTACCATCCTTACAATGTCGAGTACTAGTGCCATTTAAGGTGCCAATAATTTGGTCCGTGTACTTCACTCCATCATATCGTATTTCTGTTGTCACACAGTAATACTGAACTGTATGGTTTGTCTTTAGGATCAGGGCCCCGTTTCACAAAGCTATCGTAGCGCTACAACTGTCGTAAGTCTATGTTATAGTACAGGAAGTACGACAGTCGTAGCGCTACAATAGCTTTGTGAAACGGGACCCGGTACTTTACAACGTTCACTTATCCAACTCTTCATATACAAAATGATATTTTTTCAGAGGTATTTCCAATAACGACAACAACACCTGCTCCGTCAACGACGACGACAATACCACGACACATTGTTGTCCTGGATGACAGCAATGATGACCGTAAGAGAACGCATGGCAGAAATAACTGGGACGGCAATAATGGCTTCTTGGATGAAAACAAATGGCAAAGGACCAACTGGAATACACAAGCACCGGGTAAAAAGACCCGTCACCCCAGTATCCAGATACCCAGACAGAAAACACAGTGCAGAACAGCCACTCACAGGTAACACTGTGCAATGCACAGACAAGATACTACACGGACAGATCGTTAATCATTATCTTGTCATATCTTATCATATTATGATTAGGTAAAAGACCCGTGAAGGTCCGGATTATTGGCCTTCAGTAACCCATGCTTGTCCTAAGAGGAGACTATAGGGATCGGGTGGTCAGGCTCGCTGACTTGGTTGACACATGTCATCGGTTCCCAATTGCGCAGATCGATGCTCATGCTGTTTATCACTGGATTGTCTGGTCCGGACTCGATTATTTCCAGACCGCCGCCATATAGCTGGAATATAGCTGAGTGCGGCGTAAAACTAAACTCACTCACTCACTCACTATGATTAGGTAAGCTTCATGTATGCAACCTTATTAACAAGATCTGCAGTAACATTAAGGACAATTAAGCTACCTGGGGCGGTGGGGTAGCCTAGTGGTTAAAGCGTTCGCTCGTCACGCCGAAGACCCGGGTTCGATTCCCCACATGGGTACAATGTGTGAAGCCCATTTCTGGTGTCCCCTGCCCTGATATTGCTGGGATATTGCTAAAAGCAGCGTAAAACTAAACTCATTCACTCACTGAAGCTACCTCTATTTGCTTTAGGCCGCTGTCAGACCTTTTCTTTTGGTTATGTCACATTATGAATTGTAGCACTATAACGGGGTGTATATGTGATTTTATGCGCCCCGCGTTAGGTTTAATACCATAGGCCTTGTTCAGACCGTTGTAATTATGCCGGAGTGTTCACCTTGAGAGCATCAAACCTCATTCTACGGTTTGCTTTAAATAGTAAAACTTGGACAAATCTGACTGACATTGGTAATGTAAGCGGTCCGTGTCGTCCCTTTCAGTGAGGCGTTTAGGAACATTACTGTGTACAAACCTAGACCTAGGAGGGTTTGTTTGTCCCCCACAATCAAAAATATCCTAGCTATATCACGACGGACGGTAACGGTTCGATACCAGCCAAGCCAACAGCGGATAGCACGTCTTCGACGGCCAATGATGACACACATGAACCCAGTCAGAGAAACTGACCACTCTGTAGTACGTCCTGTGGTTGATGGACATGGCGATACATAACGATCGCGACACCTTCATCATGGCACATCTATATACGTACATTGGGAGTGAACAAGGAGACGGTGTTCTATCTTATACTGACATAGTGAATTGGTAAAACCTCAATCCAGTCGTCATATTACTACGGTCAAGGACGGTAGATTATGTCGTAATAATTTCAACTGTGTACATAAGATAGGTATTGATGAAGTTGCTTCATTAGATATAACATTGTGTAACTGATGCGATTTAAGACAAAGAAACACAAGCTGTCGTTTGTTTCATAATTTGTCATGGGAACTATAATTTATATTGAAAGTTTGAAAAGGCGTGATGAAGTTGATTGCTTGTATACATGTTTGTTAAACTACATCTATTAAAATTTAAGATAATGTTTTCCTATTCTGAAACAGAACACACATGACCAGAGAGATAAAACTTTGTTATGAAGTTTGGGAGCCTTCATATTCTCCGGAAAGCTGCCAATGGTTTGGCACCTCCTGATCTCTTGACGCAGATCAGGAAAGTGCCCGGGTTCTCCACCGGAAGCACAGCCCTTCTGACACACTGGGTGGTGCAGTGTTGGGGAGCCTTCATATTCTCCGGAAAGTTCTTAGTTATTGGTGGGTTTGACTAGGCAGCGTTTCCTGTGAGAAGTCCCATTCGCTGTCTGGGCTGCGTGTAGAAGGGGCCCTGAGCCGATGATGAACCTTACACCCGAACCCTCTCTGCAGCATTTTTCACCTTAATCTGTTAAACTATTAATATTACTATACCCATTTATGTTTCCATAAATCGACTGAGGGTGTCCATATAGTGCTTACACGAACCATTCTGGGCAAGTGGTGTGAGAAGCTTGCATGGAAACAATTGGATACTTATATGTCCTGTAGGACGTTTAGTCGAAGTTTGCTGTGAGCACATCAACCAAAAAGCACCTGCCACAAACTGATCATGTTCCTGTTTTGAGAATAGTTCACTCTAGTGGACATGGGAATATGTGTTACAATGCACAACCTGTTTCCTGAGCGGGATCGGAGACATCGCGTTGGGATGTACATTTGCAGGAGCTCTATCAGATATTGATTGAGGGGCTAGACCCTTCACACATAGGGACAGTACGTAGATGAAGAAATAGGCATGGCATTTCCTCAACATTACATATGTGTGCCGAAGACCATGTTTTCTCCCATAAAAATGTTTTAACACTAGATGATTGTCCCAATTCTATGCTAAAACACACACACATTTATTTCGTAGGATTGCAAATGATGTGGGAAGGAACATCAGTGTTGAGAGTAAGGTATATTCATATGTAGAACTAGAGATCAAGGTGAGCTACAGAGTAGTATTTTTATGTATTGTGAGGTAATGTCTGGCGCTTAATGTTCCAATGAAAACTTGTACCATAGGGTAAATGTTAAATTATGTGCATCTGGTGTAGTCATAAAAGCCTTCTAGTTGCAAGATATTGCTTGTAAGTAAGTGCACATTAGAGAAGGCTACAACATAGAAATCGATACATTCCACAAAGTTATGAAGGTAGTTTGATGTTTATTTCCACCTGAAAAACTGCAAATTTTGACACTTAAGACTCAAGCTCACTGAACCATTTTCTCCAAGGCTTAATCTGTCTAGCATCGACATGACGGCCAGCTTCAACACTGGCACTGATATGCATCTAATTGTAGATTCCTTGACAGTAAAATTCAGGTTGCCTGCTTAATAATATTATTTTGGCCTGCGTAGCGTAAACAGTCCGATTAGACTTAACAAGCTGGCTTCAGTGTACTCCAGGTAGTGTTGGTATTACAACTGTCAATCAGGACCCGAAATAGACATTCTGGTGTAATCCCTGAATCACAAGGTGTCTCTGTTCTCTCTAAGTTTCCGACTGATTTCGCTTTGCGTCGGCCTCAAAAATTGACTTGCTCCTGGTGCTTAAGTTCGTTCTGCAAGCGCCTTACTACATCACCCAAGTGCCCTGACCCATTGCAATATTTCACCGATTGCAATAGAGAAGGATAAAAACCCAATGACAGTCATTTAAGACAGAAGCAATTGAAAGAAATATTTTGAAAAAAAAATCAGTTCAAATGCAATTGGAATGTGTTCAGATTGAGAATGTGGAACAAAATATTAAATTCCCGAATGAAGAGCCGGGATCGATAATGATACATTGTCAGATAATAAATCCAAAGTCAATTAAGGGCGCTGGTTAGGATTGTAACATTATACAAAACCGTCTCAAAATGTGGCTGTGTTTTAAAGGTGCATACCTTTGTTAAAATGTTGGAAAAGAGACATAAACATGTATAGCCGCCTTTCAGTGTCAGTTTGGAAGCATCATCACTCGTCCTTAGCTCAAATGGTTTTACGCCAGGAAATGATTTTCAAATTGAAAATTACACTTTACCGTTGACTAATCATACTTTGCGTGTTCTGGAATGGTTTTTCCCTATTACAAGCATGAATTCCCAGAATTATGTTTGTGCATTTAAAACTTCATTCTTGGTCCTTATCTCTGTATTTGAGTTTATATGCAGGGAAATGTCATTACAATGAGTCAAGAAACAAGACTGATCATATTAAGGTACACACGCACAAACTATGTCATTTTCTTTTTCTTTCAAGAAGGTTTCATTTGATACTGATGTCTTGCGTTTCTCCTCTTTTTCAGGTGTTTACGGCACAGGGTCGTATAGTGCTGGAGCTAAACACGCTGCATCTTTAGTGAGTGTTGTTCTAGCAGTTATGATGTCAGTTGCCTTCAGCTGCAGGTCTAGTGCTTCAAACAGTCAGTAATATTCACTCACGAAAGACTGTTTGGATAAACGGAGAAATGCAAACACATTTTGAACGATGTGATCTGGTGACAAGGGTTTGTGGAGGATACCATCACTGTTGACAGATGTGCATATAGAGACTGTGGTCCTGTGGTCGTTCAGATGAACATTTCTTCCTTCAAGGAACTGCTAGACATATCTTCAGTGCGAAGAATACTAGGATGGGATCCTGTGTGGGACACTACTGTCTTGAGGTGGATGTTATGTCCAACACCGAGGTAGCCGATTCTAAGCTGTATATGAATAACTACATGTGGACGATGTGTTCTTTAACGAAACTCCAGGATAAACGCAACCAAAGAAATATGGCTACAAAATTAGATTGTTTTGTTTCATACATTATGTGCCTCTTAGGTAGAGGTATATAACATGTTTATGTAGACTTTCGAACTTGGGTAGACGCACAACGATGAGGCTATTCCATCAGAAAGTGTGATCACTCTCGTGCTTTAGCTCAGCCATTTCGAGGATACAAAATGGAGTGAAAGTAACTGAAGTAGTGAGGCATGGAACACAAGAGGAAACGGACCTATTTGATTTTTCCATTGTATGATTTAAAGGACACATTGTTTGCTCAAAACATATGGAAAGTCATGTGTATCAATATTCGTATCCGAGTGTTAATGTATGCCCCAGCACAAGATAGGATCATGCTTTGTTAAACTAGTAACGGATATGATTGTATGACTGGTTCTATTTTGTGACAAGAGGTAACTCATGATTTCCAGTTGACCTTGAATAGCAAATATGAACTGGTTCAAAAGATGGACGTAGTTGCATAACATGTTTGCCTTTCTCCCTAGAGAGGACGACATGAATCCATTCTTCCCCAGTTCCTTTTTCGACAATCACACGATGCTAGTGAATACTGAAGTCACGGCAGTTTCTATGTATAGAGGTCTATGGAGTTTCGTGGAAGTCAACTTTTATTTTCAACACAAACAACCAAACAAGAGATGAAGTATTTTTACATTGGTAATGTATATTTGTTTAGAGTTACATTTGGATGACCTTTATGATGTTGTGTGTTGGAAGCATAAGCTATATCACGATGACTCAGTAATCGTTTTTGTATTGAGATACTTCATCTGACTTCATAAATAAATCTTAACACAAAACAATTTGATACTACCCATGACAAAATTACTCATTACACGGTAGGAACATTACGCGGGTGTATCCCGTCATTCTTGAGTACAAGTGATCTTGATTAGTTGTGTACTGTGGGTACTATGATATCAGTGTTTGGGTGACAACAAACAGATGACATCTGACACCCTTGTGACACCCTTGTGACAATCCAAGGTAACTGGTTTGCTTGTCACCCCAGACGTATCCCAAGCCTTACTTTAGGTTGAGGCAGTATTGGGTTTGTAATTTAGTCTTGCGGTACTCTCACCTTCCAGTTGTCTTGGATCATGTTTTAGAAATCCCAAGTGACTGAATGTACTTAAACGCTGATCGTTGTGGCGCACATCAGCTTATTTTTAGGACTTGGTTTTATTTACAATTGTGTCGCAGGCCTGTTATCAAAGTAGTCTGTTCTACGCCATGGTGCATTTGAATATAGCTACATTTAGTTGTTGAATTAAACAAGGCGGCCACTGATGTGCTTGATATCATTCTCGGTAAACGAGTATGAGAAAACATTGTAGGTTTCATTGGGTCCCTACTTATTGAAAGTGTTTGTTATTCATATAAATCATAAGGTAAGCCAGGTTTGCTGTCTGTACCTCCAGGGTATGCACATTTTTATATTTTCAATGCTCGGGTCCAAGCTTACATTTACTCTCTCAATGTGTTTAATAATATGTCAGCAATAGCGTTTACATTTCAAACAGTGAAACAAGCCTAGTTTCTTGATCATATCATGATAAACGTTATTTCAAAACTCATCACAATATTCTAATATGTTCTGTCTTTACCTGTGATTTTTACTGTAATTCATATCTTTAATGTTTGTCATGTGTTCTTAAGGACACACGCCAAACTCCATTTGCCAACAGAATGGATTATTGTTGGTGGTTTGATGCTTGTATGTAGCATGTTGATTGGTATTACGTATTTTGAGAAGAATCATGACACAGCATACATACTTGATGGGTTCTCTTTGTATATAGTCCGGCTAATATAAAAGATAATGTATTTTATTTGTTCATTTCTACGAGGCCTATCAGCTAGGTATTAAAAGCCTCATTATGCTTTCGTGGACTGAAATGTTTTTTTTCGTAATTTACTGTAAATATTAGTTGAGTCATTAAAATGTTACAAAATGTTATGTTTATTTTTATTCTCATGTTTTGTACATGCAAATACCTGATGTGCATGTTTTGAGATCTTATGGGTGGTGTTTAAGTGTTCCTTTCTTTTAAAAAAAATCAATGTTGAAGTGCAAATCGTACTGTATACAAAGTAGATTAACACAGAAATTCGTGGAGTAAGATTTCGGTGGTCGGTTATGGTGTAGTAAAATAGGTAGTTTGTGTGGAAAGTAATAGCCAGACGGTGGTTTGTGGAGTAAGGTATGGTTGGACAGTGGTTTGTGGAGTAAGGTATGATTTGACTGTAGATTGTGTGGTAAGGTATGGTTGGACAGTGGTTTGTGGAGTAAGGTATGGTTGGACGGTTGGTTGTGTAGTAAGGTATGGTTGGACGGTTGATTGTGTAGTAAGGTATGGTTGGACGGTAGACTGTGTAGTATGGTATTGTTGGATGGTGGGTTGTGTAGTAAAGTAGGGTTGTATGGTGGATTGTGTAGTAAGGTAGGGTTGAACGGTGGTTTATGTAATAAGGTATGGTTGGACGATGAATTGTGTAGTAAGGTATGGTTGGATGGTGGATTGTGTAGTAAGGTATGGTTGGATGGTGGATTGTGTAGTAAGGTATCGTTGGATGGTGGATTGTGTAGTAAGGTATGGTTGAACGGTGGTTTATGTAATAAGGTATGGTTGAATGGTGGATTGTGTAGTAAGGTATGGTTGGACAATGAATTGTGTAGTAAGGTATCATTGGACGGTGGTTTGTCTAGTAAGGTATGGTTGGACGGTGGATTGTGTAGTAAGGTATGGCTGGACGGTGGATTGTGTAGTAAGGTATGGTTGGATGGTGGATTGTGTAGTAAGGTATCGTTGAATGGTGGATTGTGTAGTAAGGTATGGTTGGACAATGAATTGTGTAGTAAGGTATCATTGGACGGTGGTTTGTCTAGTAAGGTATGGTTGGACGGTGGATTGTGTAGTAAGGTATGGCTGGACGGTGGATTGTGTAGTGAGGTATCGTTGGTGATTGGACAGTAGATTGTGTGGTAAGGTATGGTTGGACTGTGGGTTGTGAAGTAAGGTATGGTTGGACGGTAGACTGTGTAGTCAGGTATGGTTGGATGGTGGGTTGTGGAGTAAAGTATGGTTGGACGGTGGATTGTGTAGTCAGGTATGGTTGGATGGTGGGTTGTGTAGTAAAATATAGTTGGATGGTGGATTGTGTAGCAATGTACAGTTGAACGGTGGTTTATGTAATAACGTATGGTTGGACGGTGGATTGTGTAGGAAGGTATGGTTGGACGATGGGTTGTGTAGTAAGGTATGGTTGGACGGCGGATTGTGTAGTAAGGTATGGTTAGACGGTGGATTGCGTAGTAAGGTGTGGTTGGACGGTGGGTTGTGGAGTAAGGTATGGTTGGACGGTGGATTGTGTAGCAAGGTATGGTTGGACGATGAATTGTGTAGTAAGGTATGGTTAGACGGTGGATTGCGTAGTAAGGTGTGGTTGGACGGTGGTTTGTGTAGTAAGGTATGGTTGGATATTGGGTTGTGTAGTAAGGTGTTGTTGGACAATGTTTTGTGTAGTAAGGTATGGTTGGACGGTGGATTGTGTAGCAAGGTATGGTTGGACCGTGGATTGTGTAGTAAGGTATTGTTGGATGGTGGGTTGTGGAGTAAGGTATGGTTGGACGATGAATTGTGTAGTAAGGTATCGTTGGACGGTGGATTGTGTAGTAAGGTATGGTTGGACGGTGGATTGTGTAGTAAGGTATGGTTGGACGATGGATTGTGTAGTAAGGTATGGTTGGACGGTGGATTGTGTAGTAAGGTATGGTTGGACGGTGGATTGTGTAGTAAGGTATTGTTTGACGGTAGATTGTGTAGTAAGGTATGGTTGGACGGTTGGTTGTGTAGTAAGGTATGGTTGGACGGTGGATTGTGTAGTAAGGTATTGTTGGACTGTAGACTGTGTAGTATGGTATTGTTGGATGGTGGGTTGTGTAGTAAAGTAGGGTTGTATGGTGGATTGTGTTGTAAGGTAGGGTTGAACGGTGGTTTATGTAATAAGGTATGGTTGGACGATGAATTGTGTAGAAAGGTATGGTGGGATGGTGGGTTGTGGAGTAAGGTATGGTTGGATGGTGGATGATATTTTTTATGGATATACGTCGCCCTTTCACAGAATAAAAGAAGTTGTATATCCATAAAAATTGTCATCAGTCTTTATGGTTGTTCGTCTGATTGTGTAATAAGGTAAAGGCAGTCGGCACATCATGCCATTAGATACGGCCATCATGTCATTAGATACGGCCATCATGTCATTAGATACGGGCATCATGTCATTAGATACGGTGCATCACTAAGTAGCCACATAAAGATTCCTGCAATAATTGATTAGGAGCTTTAGGAGACGTATCGTTAATCCATCTCATCAAAATACGTATTATCATTTTTTGCGTAATACTCTATGGTTAAAGTGAACCCAATGTATTGCCTGTAGATGTTGTATTGTTTGTAACGGTGAATATAATATTATGCTAAATTTCTCATTGTTGATAATATACATAATGAAACACTCTTGATCCAGTGGTGCTGGAATGTTTCTGTGGCTTCTAACGAGAATCTATAGATTATTACATACATACCAATATACCCACCGAACACTGCATCACAGTATAACTGAAAAACAAATGTTTCTGAAAAAATCAAACCGATAAATGTAATTGAAACGATAAGGTCTTCATAACTACATAGGTTCATCAGTAGTCTCTGTACACAACAAACCACTTGCCAAAACAGGCCACAGTTGTCCTATAGAGATATAAGGCCCCCTGTCATATTTCTGTCGCCTTTAATTATTCCCTTGCACACTTGTCGTGGTGTCAAACTATACATGCATTCGACCGAAACGTGTGAAAACAATAGTTGATTGGCATAATTTGAGTGAAAGTTTGAATGCACCTACATCATAATTATCCCTCCAGTTAAACAACATCAGTATAATGGGTACAATGTGTGAAGCCCATTTCTGGTGTCCCCGCCGTGATATTGCTGAAATATTGCTAAAAGCGGCGTAAAAACTAAACTCACTGACTCAATCACTTCCGAAAGTTCTTTAATGTGATTTCCCCATTTTAATTGACACTGTATATTTTTCCTTTAGTGTATATTCGTTTAATAAAGTGGCATATCTAAGTCTGCATCCCCACCCCCACCCCACCCCTTTACAAAAACTCTGAAAATATATGGAATAAATAATATAGATTTACGTTTCATATATCATATATTTTTATGTATTTGATAACGTCTTAAGATTTTAACCTGATATATTTAGACAATATGGCCATGACCCACTGACGTGGTGATATATTAAACACCCGACTGGGGGATAAAACAATCACTTGTTTTCCTTGAATTCCAGGGACTTTTAAAAATAAAACACCTGCATCCAAACAGAACTTTTTCACTCATTCACTAAAGGATGATCAAAGTAGGATATAAAAAAATGATCATTTGGTTTTGAAAATGTCTGTAAACATGCGGATGTGCGGAATAATCTTTTAATGTACGATTTCTACAGAGGGTAAATTTCAGTTCCTCGGGAAATGTAAAACATGTATTAGTGTTCCGCTGCTATGTCTATGTCTGCCAGGAGTTCGGTATTGTTTGGACAATGTGAAAATGATGATTTGACACACTTTGCTCAATAGGTGTTATCCACGGTTGCCCATTTGAACTATTGTACATGAATGTATTTATTCGTCAATTTTTAACTATGTTCAATGCGCAGTGGGTTCAGATATTACTTCGGCTTCATCTTGAAAATATTCATACCGGACTGAATCTGTGCTTTCTTGTTAATGTAAAGTGTCTGACTTTGGTATGAAGTGTGACATTGTTATGCAGCCAAAGATATTTCATTACGGACAGGGAGACCCCGCTGCGTAATAATTTCAGCCATAAAAAATGAAACCAGACACCGTTAAATTGACTGCCTATTGGGAACCCGTGCTTGTGTATACATGCGTCTATTGTCAGCTCCTGAAGAGGACAATATTTATCAAAGTGAAAACTTTGAATTGCTTTAAATAGTTTTACAAATTAAAAGATGTATTGAAATATTTTGCCCATTCCTTTTATTGTACTAGCACGGTATTCTTTCTATCTTCCTGCTGCAGTTTTAATGCCTGAATGACGTGTTACCTTATATGGTTGACCTTTGGAAACTACATTACATGCGTTGAAACTGTTATTCTGTAAGTATATCAAGTAATAGCCCCGAATCGTATTGATTTTCTTCGCTTGCAGTAAATATTGTATTTCAGTACGCACAGGAATGATGCTTTATGCGTGGAACGTAATTCTAATGTTTGTACAGGGTAATTAGGTATTAATTTTAACGACTTGCAAGAACGATACGTGAATTCAACCTTCGATATAAACTCGCGTCATTAGGGTTTCAGCTAGACAACAGTCACTGCCTGAGCAACTTCCTAAAGACTCATACGATAAAGCTGACAGTTTATCTTCAAATATGTTCAAATTGTCGGGCATGAGCATGTCTACTTCGTCATGGACACTCCCCGGTAAACTAATATCAGCACGAATAGAAATAGACACAGACCTTTCACTCCGAGATACAGCTCTCTGATCCAGTTCCAACACATCCTCACACCGCACACTTTGCTTCAGTGATTATTTGTATTCACATAGCACGTGTGTGAACACGATGCATCTCTCATTTTCCCAAATGTACTATCCACCCTATGCATCACTAAATTAAGCACTGCTCTGAAAACAATGTCACAGGTGTACTGGAAACTGTATTGAGCGTTTTTAAGATCTTGTGAAGACAGCCCCATGTGTATCTGTGACACGTGGTAGTTAACATATATTATTTCTGATGATAACGATGAGATGTAATTATCTTGGTTAAAGTAACCTCAGTCTAATGTTGACAACGTGTAAATCATTAGTTAAAGACATATAAACTTGATCATAAACCTTCGAGACAACA